ATATTCTGCCACAAATCAGATAGAAAATTCACATATCCTCCTGTAGTTATCTGCTTCTGCTTCAAGTTCTGAATCTGGATGCCACGACAATGAGCGGCATGGCTTTTCAAAATGCGGCCGCCTAGTACTCGCCTTGAAGGGAGATACAAGCCAATACCGGGGCACAGGTACTCAAGCAGTGCTTTTGTACACCAACGTTCAATGAAAAGATCTGGTAGCAAATTTTTAGCCTGAAACTCGACAAGCAGTCTCTCCAACTCTTGTTTTTGGCTCTTCGAAAAGCGCCGCTGGGATTTAGTCTTTGGGGGTGTTCGTTAGCTGACTTTGGCCGAGGTGGCGACTTCGTAAACACCAGACGAGTGTTTATTGGCCGCTGTCTGCCTCCTGGCCCTGATCCACTGGAATCATCATCACTAGAATGCGCTTGTGTAACCCCAATAGTAGATCGATAAGCTTCACACTTACGAAGGTGACCAACGTAGTTGTAAGAGCGCCCAAGAATAAGTTCAGGTGGATTCAAGTCCGGGTTCATGTTGTAGGCAAGGGAACAATGTTTGCATGTGTAGAACGAGTATTTACCTTTGCTCTTGGGAACCTCACGCATCAACATGAAATGATCCCGTTCAGAAACGTGTGGTCGTACCATAATTACACGAATTTGCGGCGTGCACTACCAATGCGGATATCACGGACGGCAACGAGAACACGAGCGCCAATGAGAAGGGGATGCAACGGGAGCACGGACGCTAACGAGCACACTGGTGCCAGCAGGAGCACGGGCCGCTACGAGAACACTAACGGCAACGAGAACACGAGCGCCAAAGATAACACGGGTTGCAACACAGACGCCGGCGAGAACACGGGCCACAACGAGATCACGAGCGCCAGCGATGGGGAGGACACCAATAAGAACACGAGCGCCAACAAGATCACGGCGCCAAAGAGAACACGGACACCAGAGAGGACCCTGTGCTACAGAGAACACGGATGTCACGAAGAGCACGGGAACCAACGGGAGCGTGAACGCCAACGATAACACGGGCGACACAGCGGACACAAGCGACACAGAGAGCCCGGAAACCACGGGGAACACGGAAGCCAACGGGAGCACAGACGCCAGCGAAAACACGGGTGCCAACGAGAGCACAAACTTCTGCGAGTACCTGAGCGCCAACGAAAACACCAGCGCCAATGAGATCACGGCAAGGACACGGACCACAGTGAGAACACGAGTGCCAGTGAGAGAAAGAACGTCAACGAGAACTAAGAACTCGGGAGGCAACGAGAAAAAAGCGCCACAGAGATCACAGGTACCAACGAGAACACACACAGGCGCCAACAAGACCTTGAGTAACACGAAGAGCACGAGATGTAAGAGAACAATGGGTGTTCTTAACAAGCTAGCACGTACCAGTACGGGCTGGCTCTGGCGGGGGGATTTTAGTTGTGAAAGGTCAGTTTTACGGTCACTGAAATTAAGTATGCAATACAACAACCAATATTTTCTGAATAGGCGCCTTAACCAAAAGGCGAATCGGCTGCCGCATCGCCTAAAACCCTGGCCTAAACCGTTTAGGCGCCTTTTGGAAAGGTGGTAAAGGCGGGTTGTGCCACCACTGGTACAAGCGTGCATATTTTGAATGGTCCGATTATACAGTGCGCGTCAAAACTATATACGCACTCAAAATTTGTCGATTTCTTTGCTAGTTCTGGGAACTTTGCATCAAACTAAAGGCTAAAATACGTAATAAACAATGGTAAAACAACCCAGAAAGTCTGAATGGAGAAGCACCAATTTTTCTTTTGCAGTCAAAAATACAACGTTAAGAGGTCGCATCAAAACTATATGCGCACAATGTAAAATATTAAATAAGAAAAGATGGAGGAGTTAATTTTGTAAATAGTTTAAGTCTACGCGAAAGAGCTCGAAAAATAACTTTTATTGATTAACACCAGCTGTCTCCTGATCAAGAACTGATGCCGCGAGGAAAGCTTTTGGCCGCGGCCGAGTGTGAGCGCTTCAAAGTCTACAAGAAAGGGAAACTAAGCAACCGCGAGATAGCTTGACGCCTTAAACGCGCTGAGGGGGCCATAAGGAACTTCCTCAAGAAGTCAACAGCTCTTAGGAGTCCAAGAAAGTCGGCAGACTATCGATTACTAACACGAGAGACTCCAGACAGATTTTTCGACTCGCTGTAACTCGAAGCCTATCTGCAAAGAAGATTACAGAACGGTTACCAAGTCGTCCTAGTGCGTCTGCGGTTATAGGAGTGCTACGCAAGTGTCGCTATGCCAAGCACTCAAAGAGAAAACCTGTGCCAGCTCTGAAGCCACACCACAAGGTGACCAGAGTAAAATTTGCGACTAAATTTGCAGATTCTAGCAAATATTGGAGACGCGTAGTGTTTACTGACGAAAAGAAATTCAATTTAGACGGCCCTGATGGGTACCGTTGCTACTGGCACGAGACCAGAGTGGCGCCCAAGTTGATGCCCAAGCGTGTGAACGGCGGGAGAAGCGTCATGATTTGGGCGGGTGTGTCAATGTACGGCAATACTGAGGTAGTTTTCCTGGAGGGAAGACAAAATACCGCTAAGTACACGGAAACACTGCGCGGAAACTTGTTACCTTACCTGAACAAACTTCGCCTCAAAATGGGCAATTCAGAGCCCATTTTCCATCAGGATAATGCATCTATCCACGCCGCAAGACTCACGAAGGGCTTTCTAAAGACAAACAACATTACAACAATGGCGTGGCCTACTAAGAGCCCCGATTTCAACATCATCGAGAACGTATGGGGAGTGCTGGCGGGTCGGGTGTACGCAAATGGGCGTCAGTTTGAAAGTCGTGCCAAATTAATGGCTTGCATCAAGGCTGAGTGGCCTGGTATTGAGCCCAACTACACCAAGAAGCTAGTGAAGAGTATGCCAAAGCGTTTGCACCTGGCGATGGCTCGAAAAGGCTCTACAACTCACTATTAGCAGACAATTGTGGTGTGCGCATATAGTTTTGACGCGATCTCTTAACGTTATATTTTCGACGCGAAAGAAAAATTGGTGCTTCTCCATTCAGACTTTCAGGGTTGTTTTACCATTGTTTATTACGTATTTTAGCCTTTAGTGCAAAGTTCCCAGAACTAGCAAAGAAATCGACAAATTTGGAGTGCGTATATAATTTCGACGCGCACTGTACATGTATATATACCTGAATGGTCCGATTATACAGTGAACTGGATAATGATGGGATGTGTATTCAAAGTATACACATCAATGTGGCAAACATTAAATTTGACCACAGCTGCAGTTTAGAGTTGGGACTTAAAAGATGCCGCGACCGATACTCAAGATGCGGTCCTCCTACGCAAGCCCCCTGCGATCCCCGGCCAGTGCATCGAAAAGGGAGAAGAGATCCATAACCGTTAGACGACACAACGGAGCCTGTCGACGCGTGACGTTCTCGCCATTCACCAAGTTACGAGGAGACTCGTCGACTAGTTCCCAACTGCCACTCCTCGCTGGTACGAAGATTGCAGGGTAGCCAAACACGCGCAGTTCGTGGTTTGGTGGTAAAAAAAATCTGCTGACTGACAGGTTACTTCACTTGCACTCATGCATTTGCAGATGGAGAGGAAACAAAGGGCTCGTTAACGTCTGGATTCACCTTCTCCAGCGCAACGGAAGCCGAGAAAAAGTGGGTTTGGACGCGATCTTGGCTTCTGTGGGTGGTTGGAGAGTGTGTACTGACAGGATTGGTGCTGGATATGTGCTGTAGAAACCAGTCAAGGCGGAGGCAGGAGCTGGAGACCATGAAGATATTATATAGAGCAGCAAGACACAGGCCTCACAGTGTCAAGTCACTACTGCTGACGAATGTACCTGGACTCAAACGACTTAACACATTTGTGAGCGACTGGGTGGATTATGCGAAGACGGTGCGCGGTGCGATGCCGTGGCCTCAACGTACACGCCCGAAGCGGCGACCAAGGAGGCTCCATCGAGGTCCGTGGACGGAATTGGACGACGCGGATCACAATTATGTCCAGAAACTCGCACGCAGCTCGAAGACATCACACCCCTCGTTGCTGCTACCTTCGTCGACTTCACCAAGAGACGACAACCCTTTGGATATTGTTCTTAGATCACCGCAACCGGATCTTACTCCACCAAATCGCGGTAGTTTTACGAACTTGCTTCGGAAAGAAGGTATTCCAGTCGAAGAAGACGAGCGTCACGTGAACCGAGCTATTGATGAAGATCTCCGTGGTGTGTGTCATCCAGTGAAGCATCAGCGCTTGCAACGATGAAGAGGGATGTCTCTGACCTTGGGCTGGAGGATGCAACCCGTGACAACTGTAATAGCTTCCTACTATACAACAAGTAGTAACAACGCTAAGAACGCGAGAGCAAATGAATAAATGCATGCGTCACGATAGCTTGTCGGATAAGCTCTCTTGAAGCCGTGCCATCTTCTCACTCTGACCCGTACAAAGTCTTATACAATAAGGTTCGCAAGCCGTAATCAGTTTCTAGAGGTACATTCTATTTATTAGCGGGGCGGGGAGATAGCAATAGGCACGCGGCCGAGCGTCGCGCACGTACTCGACTGGTGGCGCATTGCCCCACAGTATCACTACGCCGGGGAGACATCAAGGACTGGACGCGCGGCAGCAGTGGCGGCAAGTTGTGACTGCGAGAGTTACTGGTATTGCTAAGTGCAGCTGCGCTTATGGGCAGCACGGTGTCCGCGCTGGTGTTCCAGCCACCGACGGCCACGTACGGATACACGCGTCGCTACTTCTTCCTCGTGACTGCGATGCACAACAGGATCCCGGCGTTCTTTATTCCATGCGAGTAGGTTACATTCTATTGAGTGGGTCAATTGGGAAACTCAACTCGGAATAGGATGCTTTGCTGACATGGAACTCCCTGCAGTAAGGCTGAATACACCGTGCTCTTCTCCCATGGCAACGCAGAAGGTAGTTTACGGCCGGTAATGATGCGTGGCTGCTCGAAATTGTTGTTCTGACGGTGCTGTGTGTGCAGATCTAGGAATGATCTACGATTGGTTTCGCGAAGTGAGCAGGAGACTTCAGGTGAGCTCCCACATCATACGAAGATCCATTCCTCGTTGGACTTCTCTGATACGTTGAGCGTATTTGTGTTGACTTCAGGCCAACGTATTGTCTTATGACTACTCTGGTTACGGCATTAGCGAGGGTGAACCCAGTGAAGAGGCTTGTTTTGCCGACATTGAAGCAGCGTTCGCGTATCTTGTCAACGTGAAGAAGATACCTCCAAGCAAAATTATTCTGTACGCATCTGGGCATTCTTGTTGCCCTTGTTTCCTGATAATTCTGACAAGTTCACGTTCCATTTCTTCAGATATGGCAGGTCGCTCGGCTCTGGACCAACAACACATCTCGCAGTAAAACAGTCGAGCTTGGACCAACCCGTAGCAGGCGTGATACTTCAAAGCCCTGTGCTTTCCATGTTCCGAGTGGTCTTCAACTTCCGCTATACACTCCCAGGCGATTTATTCTGCAATATCGACATCATCGACCAGATGCAATCTCCTGTAACTATTATCCACGGCACTCGGGATGAAGTGGTGCCCTTCTGGCACGGAGAAGGACTGTTCGAGATGTGCCCTCAGGAGTGGAGATGCAAGCCGTTGTGGGTCACAGACGCAGGTCACAACAACATCGAAGCGTATCTAAGGTGCGTGTTAGATGACTCTGCTCTTGTTGTAACATGACTAACCATATATTTTCCCATGCAGCACGTTCGGCGATGAATTCTTTCAGCACCTAATCGAGTTCGTGCATGTTTGTCACGTGACAGCCACAATTAGAGCCGCCGAAGCTGCCGAGCAGAAGGCGTTAATGACTGGTAAAACGGTATGAGCTCAAAAACTAGCAGATAGAAGACGAAATAGTACCTAATATTGATCGAGAAAGCTGTGACAGCGATAAGGCTGCCCACGTGATACCTTTGCTCCAAAAACTGCTCCCACACATGCAGAACACTGGACCGAGCAAGCGTGAGAACAGTATGACGAGTACATCGCACCACTAGCATTTGTCGTCGTCACCTGATCGTCCTCAAACAAGACTGACCTTGACCTTCTTCGATTCAGAGTGATTCTGACTCCGCGAGCGCAGCGCACCTACGACGGACGTAGAATCATTTGAGGATTTGGACAGACCCTTCCGCACAGTGTGAGTTTTCTTACTAGTCGTGGCTTTCCGCTTTCCAGGCGACTTCTTCTTCTTTAGGATAGGAGAAGTTTCCATCTGCACGTCGTGCTGACCCAGTAGCTGTTTCTTGAGCTGCTCGATCTGTTGCTGCATCGCTAATTCTTTAGCCTTGAACGCTGCCTTGTTAGCAGCAATGGTCTCACACAGCTCATTTACCTTCTCTCGCTGCATCTGCAACTCCAATTCCAGCTGGTTCGTCGAGTTAGCATGTTCCTGTTCCTTCAGGATAGCTGCGAGTTGGTAGTGCAGCGAGCCTTCAGTAAGGGAGCGGTGCAGACACTGCTCCGTAGCGTTGTGCAAGGCACTCAGGGCCACCGAGCTGATCTGCAGCTCACCCAAGTTAAGTGTGAGATTCAGCAGCGTACGGAAAACCCGCAAAAACTCCTGGCGTGTAATGATGTAGAGGTTCGGACTGCCTCCAAAGTCTTGCAGCTCGGCAGGGTCGCTATCCTCGTCGTTCTGCAACACATGAAGTTGTCCAACCTTATTCCACCGTGCGTCTTCGTCCTCCTCATAAGCTCGCTGTCTCTCCAAGTACTCAGGTTCATAGCTATCATCGTAGTCCGAGTAGTATCCCTGGCCAGGCTGGTCCTCAGCATCCTCGTCTTCCGGGTGCAGTAGCTTCTCGTCCACCAGCTCCTGTGCATTCTGCAGCGACGCCATGAACTTCTCCTCATCAGGTTGCCACGGCTGCGAAGTGTCTGTGTCCATATCCTGATCTTCAGTCTCTGTGTCGCTGTCAGAGTACGACCACTCACTAGGCTCGCTCACTTGGTCGTTCATTTCCCCCATCTCTTCCCTCCACGCCGTGTAGTTGGCCACAAAGTCCGTCTTCTTGTAGTGCGCACCCGGTTCCGTATCAGGCTCATCGCTCGCGTCAATAGGTCGACTGAAGAGCGAGCTGCACTCCACTAACTCTGTCACATGGAAAGCCTCCGACCCGCACACACGGCCGGCCGCTAGCAGGCAAATGTCGTCATAGCCGTACATGCGGATACCGAAGTGTTCGCACGCGCGCTTGACGTCGACGAGGCGGAAGCTGCGGCGTCCGTCGTGCTGCATCATGACCACCATGCAGCCCACAATGCGGCGGAAGAAGTCGCTTACGTGACGCCGTACCTCGGCGGCTGCGCGGTCTGAGCTTGAGCGGAAGCCTGCACGCACTAAAAAACGGCGCACCACCGCGTCAGGTAGGACCTCCTCCAGCGAGCGTGGCAAGCGGCCGGCACCATTCACGTCACGCTTGCGCACACGATACTCCATGTTTGTATGGGCTGCAGCAACTTCTTGACGTCGGATTCCGCACTGAGTGTCGGTCACTCAAGAATTCAAATTTGCCCGCGCCAAAGAAATAAGAGCATCCTACATTATCCGTAAAGCTGCATTAATTCACGTAAATAGTGATGTTTTACGGATAAATATACTGCTTTGGGTAAAAGGGGGACTGTGCCGATAAACTTTTCGAAAGGAAGGCGCCAAAATGGACGAGGACGTACAGCAGCGGATCACTTATCTACTGCAGGAGATCGACGCCAACATCTGCGCGGCACACCGCTCGGCCACGCAGATCTGCGGTACTGTGCGTCGACATCACCAGATCTTACGGCAGATTCACGAGGCTTCGCGCGTGTGGCGGCCACTTTTCGATTCGTTTACGCAGCAACCAGCGGCACGGCGAGCCACGCGCACGCCGTCGCGGTTCTCCAGGCCGTTCACGCCTGGATCCACTAGAGCTGCAACAGCGACGCAACGACAACAACAAGATCTTGAGCGCGAGGATGATGAAGACCTAGAGGATGACACGTCTTTCATGAGCAGGGAGGAGACGTTCAAGACCACGACGCTCAAGAAGCATCAACCGCCATCCAGCGACCACCGCAACACCTCAGCTGACAGCCTTGACGTTAGTACTAATAGTGACAACCTACCAAGGATGTCTAGAACGCCTTATATGTCCAAGTCAGCAGTACAATCGGGCGCCATGACGCAGGAATCGACGTCTACGCTGAGCTCAACTGGTCGCGGACGCTGGTCGCCCAGAATGACATCGCCGCCTCGCACGGGCATCATCTCGGTGCGTGTAATGTATGGAGTTATTAGTGCGGATAATAGCAATGGCTGATGAATGGTGTGTTAATTACAGGGAGACCAACCGGAGACAGCACACGCTGGACCACGACAGATCTCGACGCCCCCATCGGCAATTAGCAGTGTGGAATACAGCAGCAACAGCCCTGGTATCAGCAGAAATTTAATGAAGATAGGTGCATTTGAATACACTCCACCGCGTGACAAGAAGTCCAGATCTGGCGGTAAGGAGAAGGAAGCTGACGAGACGAATGACTCCATTGAGACACCGTACGTTCCGGAGTTTAGCACAGTTCGGTTATCGACTGCGATGGAGAAGGGGTTAGTTACTACTGCGGACGATGTTTCAAGCTCAACGAGGACATCAGAAAGTGCTTCCAATAGGAAGCGAAAGCGGTCAGATGCTGCGGATAACAGACGAACCCCAGTGTACCCGAAGACTATCTACCCTGCCAAAGCTACATCTCCATTCAAGTCTCCTAGCTTACGTCGGAAATACAGCAGTAGAAGCAACGCGGCGTCACCGAGTCATCGAGGAACACCAGCGGCGACAACCCCACCACGACAACGGAACGAGGTAGTGATAGATGATGACACGCCAAGGACTCCAGACTTCGATTTAGCGTCTCCACTGTTACGTACGCAGCTGAAGGCGATGACACCAAACACTCCACTATCGAACCGTCTCGTCGGTGCCAGCCTGGACGTCGGCAGTGTGTCCCAAGAGGCTCGGTTGCTGGACTATGACGACTCTTTCACCGCCGGAGAACCTACACCGAAATTCGAGCTCTCGCTACTTCCTGCAGTATTTCAGGTATGGTATGCGATGGTTTTCACGCTTATATCTTACGTACCAACTGCTCTTCTGTGGTCGTATGTAGCGAGGCGTTGGTGCCGTGCAGGTTTCGACATTGTACAGTAAATTTCAAGGGGCAGACAACGACAAACCCGCAATTGTGAGTAATTCATGCATTAGCTCGAGCGTTTTGTCTGTTTCGCTCGTATCCTCTTTGATCACTAACCGCCGCTGTCTACTTGCAGAGTGTCGATCAGCTTGCGGAAATGTTGCCCGACTATGGGAAGGAGAAGATTGAGATCCTGCTGGATACGCTAGTCTCGCGACGGCTCTTGCGACCATTTGTCGTCGAAGGTACCATGTTCTGGCAGAAGCCCCTATAAGTTTTGAATCATAGAAGTTAGGCGATAAGGACGTCCGTTTCTTCATTCAAATAACGGATACAATCGAACAGCACGATCCTTATCAACGTTTCTTGCGAAATCTTTCATACGCTGCTACCAAAACGGACAAGGATATGCTGCCTTCTGGGGCTCACCATGTGCGGGGGAGAGGGTCATGTAATGCGGGTCGGTTAGTAACTAAGTGTTCAGTTGATGCATGTGTCTACACCCGTGTAGGTGCAACATGAAAACTGTGCAAGGCACGGAGATACAAGTAGTAATTCTGTAGCAAAAAGCAAGTTCATTAGCAAATGTTATAGTTTTTCTGGAGAGCTATCTTGTTTCTGGCAGGCGGAAGCGCCCTCTTCCTCGAGCGGAAGGTGAGGGAATGCCAGCGCCACAGTCGAATCATACATAACGGGCAATCAAAGCTGAAGTCGATCAATAAATAAATTCACACGAGCGGAAGTCGGTGGGTGGAATGGCCGCGGCGTGAGCGGGGCTGAGGGCTCGCAGTCACCGCCGCTCAGTCCGTTTCGGTCGCTCCGGTGCCCTGGAAGTCCAACAGCTCGCTGTCTTCCACAGCGAAAAGTGTCTCTTGAAAGTTGTCAGACACAAGCTCGAGTGACGAGCTGCGGTGCGCAATGAGCTTGGCCGGTCGGTCTTCAGCGAGGTCGAAGGGCTCTTCGCTGCTGCTGCTGAGCTCATCATCATCGCTGCCCTCGTCCGAGGAAGGCGAAGAAGATGCAACGCTCTTGGGGGACGCTAGCAGCGTTAGTGACGAGGCCTCCACAGATTTGGACATGAGCAAAATACTGTCGACAAGCGCCTGGTTCTCGCGGCTAACGTCGAAGTCGTCTTCGTCGCTGGAGACAGCAGCGTCGTCTAATTTAGCGTCATCATTGCCGTTGAGCGGGTCGTTGCTCTTCTTGGTCATAAGACGCTCAATCTCGCGTTGAATGTTCTCCTTTTCATCGGACTCAAGCACATCAGCACCGCAGAACTTCTTGGCGTAACCGGGTAGAAGGTGATCCACGAAGTTCGGGTCTACGGGGTCGTAGAAGTAGCCGTCGCCGACCTTGCGCTTGCGGCTTTCGCGTTTTTCGTCGAGAAAAGGCTGACGCCACTGCCAGGGGCACTTCATGATCGCCTGGTGGCTGGACATGGTCGTGGAGGAGTTCATTGCGATCAGAGGGTGGCTTGGAAGGTGGTGTGCGGCTTGCAGGGCCAATGCGATACTAAATGGCGGCGGAGGAAGAGGGAGCTCCGCAGAAACGGTGGCTTTTTGCCTTGTGCAGTTGGTTTTTTCCACTCTGACTCTTGGTGGCCTTTTTGCGCCAAGATCTTGATCCCTTCCCCTTTGTTCTCGAAGCGAAATGGCTGGCTTGAGTCGCGCTAATAATAACCAGCCAATTAGCGGCGCGAGTGAAGGTTGGATGGAAAAGTTCAGCGCGGGCAGTTCAACCTAGGATTTACCCAGCAAATGCCTGCAAACGCAAGGTAAAATGTGCTGTTACAGGGCGTAGGTAGTAGTTACGCTGCTGCTTTGCCGCATTGAAAGCGCGGACGGGTGCTGCCGCCGTCCGTAACGTTCCTGACGGCGGCAGACCGAGCCCAGTGCTGTTCGGGTGCTAAACCCTGTGTCGACGCTGCCGGCAAGGAAGCCGTTGGAGCGCTCTGGGCCGACCACGAGAAAAAGCCGCCAAAACTCCAACCAAGAGAACTTGGACGGGGATCGTTGGACCGCGACAAAGCCGCACCCAGCTATAACAAAGCTTTGCAGCTGCAATCGATGACGGCGCAATCTCCGCACTGCCGCTACTCCAATCTACACTGCGTTTAAACACTTCTAGCGGGGGGCTCGCGTCCAGCAACGACTAGCGTCTCGCAGTCATTTCTCAATACAGCGGTGCGAAACGATGGAAATGTGATTGACGTCGCAGCCGGTGAACAAGCTGGCAATACACGGAAGTCAGATGCCATTTGCTGGGCCCATTCGGCAGCACCACATCCAATTTCCCGCGAAATTGTGACAGGTCCGCCCGACGCGGCTCTGCACTCGATGCAGTCCTCGCCCTTGAAGCTGCAGCACCACTCGTCGTTGTTCTCGATTAAGTACGACGAAGGAGGACCCTTTGCAGCCAGTCGCTTGTTGCACACCTCCTGGCCATAGACGAGCCATATTTTTTACGGACATTTTCTGCTCGCTGAGCCAATCACCGACCAGATACGCGACTCTTGGCGGATGAAACGACGTTTTCCGCTTAATGCAGTCGCCTCCAAGCAGCCAGCAGCATGGACTGGGAGGCCAACCTGGCCGCCATCATCAAGTGCACGGACGCCAGTCTCGCACAGCAATTCCGTGAGTTTGAGGACGTCACGGCCGAGTTTACGGCGGTCGACGAGGCTCCTGTAGCCCACGATCCTGGTGACAATGTAGCAGCGAATTATCTGCGTGAGAGCATGGCAGCTGAATATCGTCGCCGCAAGCAGCAGGAAAAAACACAGCCGTCGCATTCACGTGTATCCGGAGCATTCTCAACGACGTCAGCACCGGCATCCACCTTCTCAGAGCATTTCCATCGTCAACAGGAGCGAAAACGTGGAAATTCGAGAGTAAGAGACAACCAGCGAATGCACCGTCGTGCTAGTGACTATGAACCTGCCGAGGACGAGGGGCAAATGCAGGACCACGAAGTGAATGAACAGCGTTACAATACGTCGCGACAACAAATGTACTCGTCACCGACGTATGACGTCGCACAGATGATGGAGCAGGTGCGACTGAGCTTGAAATTGGAGGTGGATGCCCGTGCTGCTATTGCAGAGCGACAACTGAGCGCGCTGTTGCAACTGTGTAAGGCCACGTCGGAGGAGTTAGACCGACTGCGAGTAGAGGTCTGTGCGAACGACCGTCAGCTGCACACACTAGACCAGGTGCAGTCGAAGATTCGACAGGAACTCACGACGCAAAAGGATATTGGCTTTCACTTGCAGTCGATGTGTGGTAAGGATGAGTCGTGGCGCATGCAGACCGAGAATCAATTGTTAGAGTTACGTCAAATGGTGGCAGCATTACGGGAACAGGGAAATTCTACGCAGGCGGTGGCACAGGAGAAGTTATCGAGGTCTGAGCTACTGGTGCAGTTTAATGCTGCCATGGAGCCAATCAAAGCCCAGCTACAAGCCAATCTGCAGCACCAGGCTCAACAGATCGCTGAGATTACGCGCACTACGAGTTCTTCAAGTCTACTGCTCGACGGGATCACGCAAAAAGTGAATCGAGGTATTACAGAGGAGCTGAACGAACTGCGAAGCGATCTTAACGCACTAAAGCACCATGTCGCCAAAATGGACATATTTCAGGATAATGGCCGGAGTGAAAATCGCTCATCACAACCGTCAAAGGAAGAAATCGAAGCCAAAGCAAAAGAGGAGCAGCAACAACAGGAGAAAAAAATGGCAGAGGTACGAGAAGAACTCCAGAAGGAGATGATGACGCTCGTGAAAGACTACGTGGAGACTCAAATTGTACCGATTCAACAGTCGTTTGATGAAAACAAGCACCGATTTGTCGCTAAAAACGAGATCGAGAGCTTGCGCGGTATTCTTGATGAAGCCTGTAAAAATCGTTGCGCCACAACTGTAATGCAGCTTGAAAGGCAAATCAGAGCAGCCCAGGATCAACTCCGAGGTGAGTACAATGCAGCAATCCGAGATACTTCGGATCGACTTGAAAAGAAAATGCAGCAAAGTGAAAATACGATGACGACAACCCTGGATGGACAAGTAAAATCCTGGCAAAATAAACAACTTGAGTTGGTGAAGACGATTGAAAATGAGCAAAAGGAGAGAAAGCAAGCATTGGACGAGCTTCACGAATCGCTTCGAAAAAGTCGTCACCAGTTAGAAGACCAACTTCACACGATGGTGCAGGAAGGTCGAGCGAAATTATCACAACTTGAAAGCGACGTTGAAAAGCGATTAAAAGACGTGGACAAACAGATTGAAAGCGCGATAGTGGACGTTCAGAAAGAAAACCAGGCATCTTTAGCAAGTATGGTAAGCTCTATGCAGATGCAAGGTAGCAACAATACTGTCGAGTTGGAACAGAAGCTGAAGCGCCTTGAGGAAACTATCTTGAGTACCAACCAATCTGTCGCTGCACTGTCTAAATCGATTGCATCGTCAGCGCCACACAGCGATTCCAATACTAAAGACGTTAGTTTGGCTCTGGAGAAGCAGACTGGCGTGTACGTATCAACAATGGAGAATCTGCTTCAGAAAATGCAGCTACAGCTTCAAGTGCAGGCTCAACCACAAGTTCAGATGATGGCTCCGTCCCCGTATCACGGCTATTGGCCGCCATCACCCTACGCTGCGAATCAAACACCACCGCCGCCAATTCTTCATCTTCCACCAACTGTGAATCCTTCAGGCGCAGCAAGGGCGATACCCCAGTCACATTTGACCCCAACAACACCCGCGACTAAAAGTACACCGTCAGAAACTCTAGTTCCAAGCTCGCATATTGACAACTCAGTGAGGGAGGAGTTGATTGAAGTCCCAGCAAACAATGATAGATCTGTTGACCGTGTGTGCACCGCGCTACCAGTTACGGCTTCAGAACTTTCAAACGCGATTTCAGTACCACCAACTGAGACGTTAAATCTATCCTCTGCTACTCCAACAGTACCATATAGCTTGACGACATCCAGCAACGAGAACGAAACAATTAAGCGAGAAAATACTCTCGCTACAACTGCAAAAGGAGCTCTAGCTGAAGCTGAACTTGCCAAGGCTCGTGTTGAAGGCCGTCGAAAGCAAGAACAGGAATTGAAACAGCAACGACAGCCTCCTGTTTCAGTTCCGCCAGTAAATGTACTGAGATCAGGAATTGGAGTCTCAACATCCGATAAAGAAGCTAACAATATGCGATTGTCAATCCCTGCGAGTCTCACGGCACACACTCCAGCACTAACTCGATCTGCATCTTCGTCCGTCTTGTCTGGAAAAGATGCAGTTCCTCATCCTGTGGTGTCTTCAATCGGAAATAAAGCGATGGCACCTGCCAGCATGCCGAGTACTCCAGTGGCAGGCAGGGCTCCTGTGATATTACAGAATACATTACAATCACCACCTGCAACTGCCCCACCTCAATCAATACAAAAGCCAGAAGCACCAGCGACAGCGAACTCCATTCCATCAGGTCAAAACGATGCTGAGAGCGATTCTAAACAATCTTTGACGGTCCCAACTTCAGCACCAAAAAACAGGGTTGACTCTGCTGAACAACCAACGCCAAAGCACCAGCCAACTGATTCAACGGCAAGACAAAGTCCATCGCATGACTTGCAGCTTTCAGTCCCCAGTCCTCCGACAAAAGATGCATTTCCTCCTTCTCTATCACCACTAGCAAAGATTTTTGCACGATCCACACCCGCGGATACAGCTACGGTTGAAGGCTATGTTCCAGCACAGTCAGTCACGAATGCGACCATCTCGCCAGTGGTAAACCCGATACAAATTACGGAGAAAGACTCGGCGCTTGTTGCTCCTACACCTGCTACACCACCATCAGCTCCTGTTTCGCATGTTTTGTGCTCGTTGTGCCGACTTCCTATCCGGTCAGACCAAAAGATTGAACACGAGAGATCGCAATGTCCCAAACGAATGGTCGAATGCGTTTCCTGCAAGCAACAACTGCAGTGGGTTAGTCTTGAAATCCACGAGCTCGAGTGCAGTAGAACCCAACGCAACCCAACCGACTCATCTGCGGCCAGTGAAGCGAAACCACTATCAGACACTGCAGAGTTGGGGGAATCGCTTAAGAAATGCCGCCATTGCTCAGCAGAAGTCCCCAGTCTGGATTTGTTGGAGCACGAGATCAACTGCGATAAAGTGCTGAAGCAGTGTCCTCATTGTCTCCGTCGTCAAAAGGTGTGTTACATTTCACTAGAAGTCATACTCATTCACTAATCGCATTGTGTGTGCGTGTGTGTGTGCGTGTGTGTGTGTGTGTGCGTTTACAGATGTCCGAATTGCAAGATCATATCGAAAATTGCGACTGTAGGTTGGTTTCTTGTCCCAACGACTGCGGTGGGAAATTCTTGCAGCGAGGCATTCCAAACCACTTGGCCACCCGCTGTCCCAAGAAAATTGTGACCACACCTGCACCTGTAGCACCTCCTGTATTACGCCAAACGAACGCCGAAGTAAGTAAACCAGAACAACCTCCTCCAGCATCAGCCCCAACCGGAAAAGTGAGCACTTTATAGAAGAAGTCAGACAAGGTATTGGAGGCTCACCATTGGCTATGTGTTCGCAGGTGGAGTGCAAGTTCTGTGACGACGAAGTCGATGTCAGCAAGATCGACGATCACGAGCAAAAGTACGTGTCAACTGTTTCCACATCGATTACTGGTATTCACAGTTGATACGTTATGGAATTGTTGCAACTAGCTGCGACTGGAAACCTAAGCGTTGTCAACACTGCAACATGGTCGTCATCACTCGGGACCTGGTGCGTCACGAGACATCGTGTAAAACGAATATCAAATCGTGTTCGCATTGCAACGAAAACGTAAGTTTCCGCTTTCATTAGAACCTACTTTATGAATAACTGAATTCTGTTGATATTATTTGTTCAGATGCCGCAGTCCGCGTTGACCACCCACGCTAGTCGATGCTCCAAGCGCCCAATCAAGTGCATTCGATGCTGCCAGCTCTTCCCTGCCGATGCAATTGTAGCACACTCCACCAGTTGCAAGGTCGTACTAGGCGGAAACTCAGCAGCAATTTGTCCATCTCCGGCGGCG